GGATAGGCCAGATGCGAATAGGCCAGCCAAATTGATTTCACGAACATTTTGTTGTTAAGTACAGTATTTTCCAAATGCAATATTCTTGTGTCTTCCCCACTCGCGTCTCATATTTTAAAATTTGGAGCTCTGTGATTTGGAGTTTTGTGTACAGTAAATAAATTTAACTTGTTCTATCATATTCTTTACATTGGTGTTAAACTAACTGTAAATCGATACATTTAATATTTTGATAATAAATAATGTGTGTTAAATGCAGTGATATATCTTAATACCTGACTGCTTCAGTGTTTTGTTCTGTGTACAGTGAAACAATTTTATATTAACTGAGAAAATACAATTGTAAGAAATTATTTGCCATATACAAGGATGATAAATTGTGTTTAAAAAATATTTATTTAGTAACACCAGTACTCTTGAATTTATGTACAGTAATAATCAATAACCAAGTAAAGCACCAAAAATATCATGAATGTTGAAAATCATCATGAAAGAAGAAATCTTGGCTATGGTAAATAATACAAGGCAATCAAACATGATAAATAAACCAGTTAAACTTGCCTAAGACGATTTGCCATAATTTCTAAGTCAATCTAATTTTACATGCCGAATTGTTGTTTTCCATTACTGTAAGTGCAAGTCAATTTAGTTTTGTCAAACAATTTCTCAATGGCATTTTGGATACGACATAGGCAAGTTCAACTATATAAATATTTCAAAATACTAAACAAAAAATGGTGTACAACAACAAAATCGAAGTTTTCTTTTAAATTGCAATACCAAATTGATCAGCAAACGTTTAAAAGCATGCAGACATAGGCATAATCCAGCCATTACAAAATAACCAAATTCATAGACTAACATTACACCAGACTGTAGAAAGCCATACGTTAAAATATTTGTTCCTGTATATATATTCAGCCACATTTTCATACTGTATTATAAATTTCGTGCATTATATATTTCAATATTAATCCCCACAAGTTGGTTTATAAATCTGGGTCACATATTTGCTCCAAAAGTATTACTATTGAATGGGATTACACGTTTTAAAACAAGAAACTTATAATAACATTGATTAGTATTAAAGATATTTTGCAAGTAACACCTCTAAAACTTCTAAAAATATTATTTATTTATTATAAATTTGGCATGCACATTGTAATACAGTGCTGCAATATAAACCAGATACGTAAAAACTTCCTGTCTGCTAGTTTGTAATGTATTAATTGATCCCTAATCTCTGTGCAACTCAACAGCTACATTGAACATCTATGTAGTCATAGCATTTACTTCTGGAAACATCCTAAATATCTTATGACAACAATCCCGGAACACTATATCTCTAAGCATACCGAGAAACACATTGTGAAGCACAGTTATACTTGTTATTTAAAACATCAAAGTATAGCCTGACGTTTAACGGCCATATTGTGTAAAACTTTCTTACACGGCTAAACTAGAGAGGGCGACAAACGTAAATAATATTAGGAAGTGAACTTGGCATTAATATCAATTGAACAATAGGTATAAAACAATAGAAAGGATGTCCGGTTTAAAATAGGTGTTATGTAGTTAATTAATTTTAGGAAGTGCGGTGTTGGTGTTTCAAAGGGATTAATTTCAATTAAACAACGGTATTAAACAATAGAAAGAATGTGCGGTGTCATTGATAGTATTATTAATAGTTTGTATAGTAACGTGATATGGAGATGGTACGTCACGATAAGAAGGAATTCTATTGGATGAATGATATTGTTCTCTTTCATCGCGGTGACTAGGTAATTTGAATATTCTGCGTCATCATGAAAAGTTTTTTTGACGTCACTTAATCAAATTCTATTTAATTTTCAAATAAAAATAGAAAATAAATAAATATTTAAAATAAAACCAAAAGGAATAAGGAAGCGACGCTACCGACGTCACTTAATCCTTCTAGTCAATTTAGTGTATATATTCTGAGTAAAATTCAAGTTAAGACATCAGTTTAGTTTCTAAATACGTTGAAACAACTCCAGCTGTCTTGTCTACGAGAAACTAGTATACTTTTCTCTGTCATAATGAATTTCTATATGCTAACTGCTGATTACACCGATTCTAAGTTTACTGAGAAGGCAAAGGCTACAATGCAGCGTGTTATGCAGCCTAACAAGAAGCAGAAAGTAGAAGTTAGACCAAATGTTAGCGCTTCTTTCAGAGAAGATATGAGACCAGTAAAAAGTCAGTTTTACAAAAATGAATCAATGATGACAAACCAAAGTACAGTTACAGCGACCAATAGAATTTTCCTGACAGAGAAGAGACACATTATTGTCCAACGTTGGAATTCACAAGTCTTTGCCTGCCTGAGAGAGTTTTATAAGACAGAGGATGGCGGTAATTTTAAACCAAGCCGAAAAGGGATTAATCTTGCAATTATGCAGTGGCGGGAACTGATAAAGCTCTGCCGTCGATGAAATGATTAATGAACTTGAAGGCATTGATGATTGTGGTGTCGCATCAGACCAAATTGGCAATGGAAAGCACCCTAACGAAACAACGGGTGTAAAAAGTGCCGACAGGAACTCCGACAATGAACTTTACAAATGGATGTATACATATGATGATGTAGAGTGTGATTGTCAAGATCATTAAACAACAGACAACATGATGCGTTGATATTTAATTGCATCCCTTGGAATAGTATATAACACGAAGCAAATCTTGAACCATCATTCGACATCCACATCTGTAGCTGGACTATAAACATCAAGAAGTCAAACTTAACCATGGAAATCAACGCAGAGAATCAGATGGTATCGACTCAGATCATCGATTAAACCGGGGACGAAATCACAAATCAAAATCCAATCATTGATTTAACCGAGGAAGATGTTGATATACAAACTCCGATTATCGATTTAACTGACGATGATATGACGGTTCCTATTCCATTCATCGACTTAACAGGAGACGATGATTCAAACTTTTTTTTCAATCATGATGTGTTTGAAAATGACTTTGACAAAATTCTCAACAAGGAAGAAGAAAAAGACGAAGAAGAAGGCGAAGAAAAACACTACAGTGAATTCTCTGATGATGATGAAATTTTTATTAAGTTTATCAATGGGAGTATTTCAGAAGAAAGTGTACTGAACAATTCTGTATATGACGTGAACGACTATAGCGCGTTTCTGTGCGTGAACGATGGGCCGATTGATCATAATGTTTTTGAGGATGAGGACGAATCGCAAGAGAAAAAAGAAGAATTAAAAGTAATAAAAGACATTCTGGAAGTAATCTTTATTGAACAATTTTCCAACACAGTTAAAATGTACGTGGAAAGAGACTGTTATGGATGCGAGTTTAACAGGGCTAGTCAAGTTGACCATGACATATATCTAATGATGTCAGAGGAAGAACAGCTTGATAAATATTTTTATGAAACTTTAAATTCGGATCAATATATTAATTATCATACTATGTATAACCAATGGTTCTCTGCTCGACATAATTCTGGTGCATTAAGTTTTCGAATTATTATTAATCAAATCAAAAAAGATATTAATTTGTATAACAAAGTATTAGCTTTTATGAAAAGCTAAGTACATTTACGTACACTGTACTCTAAGCCTATCTGAAATTTAATTGAAAATATTTTTAAATGAAAAGTAAAATTTCTTTCGTTTCTCTTTTTATTTATGTTAATTTTACTACAACTTGATCTGTTTTAACTTAATTTAATTTTTTTTTCTTTATGACAATTTTATGTGATAATAAAGATATTCTTTGCCTAATAATTAATATTTATCGTGTTTGTAATTTTTTTTTATGTAAACGATTAACTTGAATGATGTGATTATTTTATTGTATACGATAAAATTCAATATGCTTGTTAAAAATAAAACTCGCTTGAAAAAATGAAATGAAATTTATTCTTTGCGTGTTATTAAGTACATGTTTTTAGAGTTTTCTTTTCATTTGAGTGATAGAGAGAAATGAGTATGTATGAGCAATTGAGACAAGTGTATTACGATCCTAAACATCCTGGAAGTTTCGGTGGTGTTGATCGACTTTATCAGAGCGTGAAAGATAACATAAACATAACCAAGAAACAAGTTCAGGACTGGCTGAGCAGACAAGATACATACACATTACATTAACCCATTTATCGTAAATTCCAGAGAAACAGGGTACACGTATAGACGAACAATGGGAAATGGACTTGGTAGATTTGACTTCGTAAAAACGATACAATAAGCAAAATAAATTTCTTATAACATGCATAGATGTTTTTTCTAAATATGCGTGGGTTCTACCTATAAAGAATAAGTCCTCAGATACCATGTTAAAAGCTATAAAGAAATTGTTATCTGGTAAACGAAAACCTATTAAAATCCATACTGATAAAGGAACTGAATTTACAAATAAAAAAGTGCAATCGTACTTAAAATCATTAGGTATACATTTTTTTACGACAAACAACGAAACCAAGGCAAGTGTTGTCGAGCGATTCAATAGAACCTTAAAAAGCAGGATGTGGAAATACTTTACATTAAAAAGTACTAAAAACTATATCGACACGCTTCCTAAACTAGTTTCAAGCTATAACAATTCAAAACATGGATCGATTGGGACGGCACCTATCCTAGTTACGAAAGAAAATGAGCATGATGTATGGCAAACCCTTTACGGAGAAAGAAAACAGCCTAGACCTACACGATCCAAATTTAAAGTCGGTGATCAAGTACGAATTAGTAGACATAAACTGCTTTTTGAGAAAGGTTATTTAGCCAACCTGTCCCGACTTATAAACTCAAAGATTGGGATGGTGAGGAAATCGAGGGGAATTTCTACGAGAAGGAGATACAAAAAGTTTCTAAATCCGACAAAGATACCTATCGTCTTCAGAAAGTCATACGAAAACGAAAGCGCAACGGTAAAACGGAATTTTTCGTTAAATGGTTAGGATATCCGAGTAAATTTAACAGTTGGGTTCAAAATATTGTCAGATAAACATGGCAGCGCAGTTCTACATTTCGTTACCGAGCAATAGCTCGATGAATTACTTTCCCAAAAATACACTTACCAGTTACACTTCAAAGTTAGCCGAACCCCTACGCCTTCGTGGAGAGTGGGAAGTTGGTTTAGCAGAAATTCAATATCCACATTCGTGGTTTAACGTAGATGAAACAAACAATACATTCTACGTGAAAACAGATACGACCTACGAAATAGTTATTCAAAGTGGTTATTACACGTCGGGGGATAAATTGATTGATGAAATCAACAATACTTTAGGAAAGAATAATATAAATGATCAAATAATGTTCAGATTCCTGCCTATTTCCGAGAGAGTCGGTATATTAACCAACGCACATGCAAGTATTCAATCTTTAGGAGGATTTAAAACGTTACTGGGAATCGACTTGGATTCGATAACTGAACTATCGGAAATTATAGGTAAAAGACCTATTAACCTTCATTACAGAGTAACCTCTTTGTACGTGTATACAGACATGATCGAATATCAGCGAGTTGGAGATGCTAGCGTACCTCTGTTGAGAATTTTACAAACCAAGGAAAGTCATATGAAAAAAGAATGAATCATGAATACGCAATGCCTCACTATAAACGCGTAGTTAAAAAAGATATTGATACTATATTAGTGGATATAAGGTCCGATACCGGTGAGAAAGTTTCATTTCAACGTGGAAAGGTTTTGGTGAAGTTTCATTTTCGACAGAGTAGATCGTCTTATGTGGTATAATGGTAAATGCGTACGAAGATTATTACCTTGGGCAGGTTGGAGGCTCAACAGTACCTGTTTTTCAAGGAACTATGAACCAACGGGGATTTGGCCTTGGAGGTATGCTTTCAGGTCTATTTAAACGAGCCGTGCCGTTATTGAAGAAAGGGGCCAAGACATTGGGGAAGCAAGCGTTAATCACAGGTGCAGAAATTGCGGGAGATGTAATGAGCGGAAAAAGTGTTAAGCAATCGGCTAAAACGCGTGTGGTACAGGCCGGTAAACGTATTTCGTTTCTCAGACGAATGAATATGAATAAAAAGAGAAAACGAAATAGTAGAGGTATCACTCGAACGAGAAACAAGAGAGTGAGAAGAACCTCCGATATATTCGACTAACATTCACTATGTCTTACGTACACAAAAACTCATGTGAATGCCTCAAATCGGAGCTGGATTTGTTTTCCGTTCCACCGACTCAAACTAGCATAACAAAGGGTCATTGGATAGAATTTCACCCCTTTACCTCTATAACAGATACTGGTCCAGTACAATTTAATATACATGGTTCTAACGAAGAATACATGTTACGCGTGAAAGCAAAAATCACGAATCCAGGCGGAACGGATCTAGACGCCGATGATCCAGTTGGAACAGTCAATTTACTATTACAATCTTTATTCAATGAAGTTGATATTACATTGAACGAGAGGTTGATTACATCATCTACCAACGCTTATTCGTATAGGGCTATGATTGAAACGCTGTTAACCTACGGTACGGATGCTAAGCAAACTCATCTTACCGGAGGATTGTTTTACAAAGATACTGCAGGTAGAATTGATGCGGCTAATCCTACAGTTGGAAATGCTGTAGCTAATAATGAACTCAAAAAACGTTCTGAATTTACTAACGGTAGACGTTTGGTGGATTTGATAGGGCCTCTTCACTGCGATATATTTTTCCAAGATCTTATGATGCTTAATGGTGCCGATGTTAAAATTAAATTACACAGAAGTAAAAACTCATTTTGTCTTATGTCATCCGATGCAGCGGCAGGATTCAAAGTACATTTGGAAGACGCCTCAGTGTATGTAAGAAAAGTAAAACTTAATCCATCCGTAGCGCTGGCTCACGCTAAAGCGCTGGAAAAAGGAACAGCTAAATACCCGCTCCGTCGCGTCGAGGTGAAAACGCTTTCCGTACCGCGGGAAAATTTATCGTTTACCAGGGAATCGCTGTACAATGGGAATCTTCCTAAGCGCCTAGTTGTTGGTCTAGTGAGTACAGACGCCTTCAACGGGAGTTACTCTAAGAACCCGTACAACTTTCAGCACTTTAATACAAACTTTATGGCCTTCTATCTAGATGGTGAGCAAGTACCTTGGAAACCGCTTAAACCAAATTTCGAAGCTAACGGTGAAGGAAGTTATATTTTAGCGTATCAGAGTTTATTCTCCGGTTTAAGTACATTATTCGAAGATACCGAAAACCAGATATCTAGGGAGGACTACGGAAAAGGCTACTCATTGTTTGCATTTGACCTCACCCCAGATTTATCAAACAGTGGACATTTCAATCTAATTAAACAAGGAAATATACGTTAAGAAATTCAATTTGCTACTGCTTTGACAGAAACAATTAACGTTATAATTTACTCCAAATTTGATTCACTTATTGAAATAGATAAGTCTCGTAACGTAATCTTAGATTTCTAATCATGGACACTATACAACTTTTAAGATTAATTAAATCAGGTCCTTTAACTAAACGATACTTTCGGGGCGTAGGCCTATATCCTTCTGATCGCCTACCTAAAGGGGATAAGGGCTACCCTAGAGCTTACATAACGAACGTGGATAGTAATAAAGAGAATGGTTCGCATTGGGTAGCATTTTTTTTTATGAATAACCAATACGAAGGAGATTTCTTTGACTCATTTGGAAACCCTCCAGAGTATTACAATCAGAACTTTGTAAAATTTCTCGATGATTCTATACGTACTTGGACATTTAATGATAGAGCGATACAGGCTCCTTTGTCGACCGTGTGTGGTCAATATTGTATTTTTTATATCTTGCATAGATGTAGAGGTGTTGATAGTTCAACTATAGTTAATATGTTTACTAGAGATAAAAATGCTAATGATTCATTTGTTAACGATTTTGTGAAACGTAGATACGATGTTAATTTACCTGTGTATGATAAGGAATATATTAAGATTCAGTTTGTGAACATGTTAATTAATCAGCTATAATATTTGTGTGTTTATTAAAATGAAAAAAAAGATATTAATTTGTACTTTTCATTCTTTTTTTTTCTTTCACTCGTGTCTCATCTCACACAACTGCAACACTAAACATTAAATTTTAACGAAGAAATAAGGCAAAGAAAACAAAATACTTGATGTATTCATTTTTTTATTTTTTAACACAGCAACCAGAAAAAAAAAACACCTTTTACATTCGTTTAAAAGTCGAGCCAAGACCTAGATGATTTACGTTTTGATGATTTTGTTTTCTTTTTAACAACGGCTTCGGACATAGGCTGTACTTCGGACTTAGTTTTTATTCCACCAGATTTTATTCGTTGTAGAACAGTTCGACGTGTCGAATTACTGATTAAACTTTCAGGAGTATTTAATTTAGCTAATACCACAAGGAATTCTTTCCAACCTATAGGTTCGAAACCTCGTCTTTCCTGTATAATATCCTTTACTAAATCTATTAAATTACTGCCTTTTAAAATTTCTCCATCAAATATAACCTCTCCGTACGTATTCCAGTCTATTGTACCCGTACCCCTGTAACGTGCTATCCACTCTAGCAATTTTTTAGTTTTTGATTTTAAGGCAGTGGAGACTGAATTTAATGCATCGGTTAGTATAGGATCTGGTTTGTCCATATCCTCCTCATCTCGTTTTTCTCCCGTTGAAGTTTGGTTGGGTCCTATGTTCAAACTTATAGGTTTAGGATTAGTAATGCGTTTCTCTCTCTGTAAATAATGCTGTAGAACTTGATTGTACATGGTAACTTTATCGTAATCGTTAAGATCTTGCCTACCGAGTATATCATTCATTGACTTATCTAAACTAGTAGTCACTGTATTTTCTGTCCGTTCATTGCGTCGACTATGCAGTATAACGCTCGCCAATTCTTGTGGAACTACAACCATTTTCTTAGTATGCTCCATTATTTCAACAGCAAACTTCCTAGGGTTTGTAAAATAGGTTTTAGCACAAGACCGAGAAAGTCTCCTTTTTGAATTAGTATTTGTTTTCCTTTCAGCGTAGACTTTTTCTTGTTAGCAATATTTCGCAAGTGTTGCTTGTACCTCATCAATTTCTTCTTATGAGCTGTGGTTATAGGCACATTGCCTTTTAAAACATTCATTGCGCACTCACAGATAGTCGTTATGAGCTCCTTGTCGGCGTTCTCTAGGAGAAGCTTTCTCTGTTTAGGTGTACAATGAGCTAAAAACCGTAAAGTCTCAGCGTTTTTCTTTACACGTTTTGACATGATGTTGATGAACGTATGAATGAATCGAATTTAGTTAAACAATGCTTACTTATATTTTTGGTACGTATGCAAAATGATTACTTGTTGAAAATATATTTGTGCGAACTCTCATTTCTTCCGGTGTATATGGTTTAAGATCAATGAATAAATACCCGTATGATTCACGTGTTGCGTCATCGAACGCTTCTTGTAAGAAATGGCTTTTTCCAGGATACATCCGCTTTGAAAGGTTAATTATCTGTGTCTTATCTCTAGGGTTCTTGAATAGCACAATATAGTTAGCGTTTAAAGTAATGGTACGATTTCTTTTGACCCATAGAAAAAATTTTGCATGATGAAAATCACCGAAATGTTTCTGTGATGAGATCCTTTATTAAATAAGTTTACGACACGTTTATCTTGACTACACTCTGTCATTAGATCGTCGATAATTACTACATGATTTCTACTGGAATCAAATGCATCTATAGTTTCTATAGGAATATCCTCCATAAAACTTATATTTGTATTTGGAATAGCATACTTAATTCCGTAAACAATGTTTGGTATTCCCCGTAACACCATGTTATATCGTCAAAGGGTTTATCAAAATATTCATTTTGTATCAATTTCTTTACGAATACTGATTTACCCGAAGAAGTCGGTCCACTTGGTTTTCGCGTTATGCGAATAGACTCAGTTGTTGTTATTTTCTCTGGGCCATTACCCCTAACCATAGACCTAACAGTTTCGAAATTAATTTTTTGTGAATTTTTAAAATTTAAAGTAAAACCTTTTACTTTGCAAACTGTCTTTCCTGAATTTAATATATACACATAATTTTTCGGACCCCCGATGCAAAACATGTAATGTACTGGCCATCTTTTGGATTAATTTCATTTGTTAATTCACCTAGATAATTACCGATATCAGGTTGCCATTCACCAGGGTTATTTCGGTTAGTAATAAAAACGCAAGAATCGGTATCGTAATACAATACACGATCCTGTAAATTATGTAATAATTCGTATAGTTTTAACCTAGCAGTAGCAGTAGTAAATGCAGCGATGACAACGTTAACTTTTCTGTTTACAGTTACTGACTGTTCATCACTCACATACTTTACTTCTGCTAGATTATCATTAATTAGGTTAATGTCGTTAACAATAACTTCAGGGTTGGAAAGTAAATCATACATTTCGTTAGGGTCATCGCTGAATTTGGTTTTAGTTTGATTTTCTCTTTGGCCAAACTTTCCCCAAAAAGAATTCAACATAAGTTTGGCGAGGGATCGTAATCCAGGGTTATAAGTAATTTGTTCGTGATTTAGATTTATATCCTCGTTTTGTTCATACTGAATGATGTATTTCTGTTTGTCGGCGTCAGAAACACACCATTCAGGCCACCCTGAAGCTTCTTGTTTTAATTTTAGGAAAGTATTAATATACTCAGAAAATAAACCTAATGATGATGGGTCAGTAGAGTCACACTCGCTTCTTTGGTGGAAGTGCCAAGCTACGTGTACTTTGATGAGGTTATACCCCATCTCTACTGCTTTCTGGACCTCGTTGTTACCCAAGTTCCATCTAATGCCCTTTCGTCAGTAGAGTGAGCACAAGAAACTAGACACTGGTTTTCTACGCAAGTGCAGCATAATGGAAACGTTAGTTTTCCATTGGTCCTGTAAGGAAGGACAGGATGGAGTAAATTTTTGGGCGGTTCTATCGTGCATTTAATTAGGCCGAAATAATCATTTATATCCGTTGACATGTTTTTGGATGCCAATATCCCGGGGTGGCCAACAGAATATGTTCCGTATTTTTTACAATACGGATAGAGACTGGTAAAATCAACGTAATGAATTTCTTCATTATCTTTAGCCTCATAAAATAATCGCGCTGCATTCGTTCTTCCACCAAAGAAAGCGTCCCGTTGATTAAGGATAGGATGAACAAATGGTACATCAAGAATTTCGTGTCGATGAAGAGGGGATAAGGAGCTCTTAATTCCTTTCCATTCGTGTTCCCAAATTTCAACATACTCGAATTGGGGGAAATTTTGCTTTAAGAAATCAGCTTTTTGCAAAGTTTTTAGATATGAATCAGCCATCTTCACTCCAGTAATAGGGTTCTGAGAAGCTGATCGATAGCATTTTGGACAACCGTGAAACAGGCACCCCATAAATTCGAAAATAATTTTAGGTTCAAAAGATAACCCATCAATTTTATACGGACCAAGTTGCTTCTCGCCCCCGTTTTGAGCTTGATGAATATGGACACACCTACGATGAGATTCGTAGGATAACCTTTCCATGCTGACAAAAGAATGGTTATCAATGGTTTGATATCCCAATTGTGGAAATATTGCAATTGTGTATGGCTTTAAGAAATTTCGTGCAAAAACATAGTTACACGCGGAGGCAATAGTAATCAAACCATTGGAGAATGGATCAACCCCTTCTTTATCGACATTATCGTTGAGTACCGTAGCTTGTTTAAAGATATGCCTAAAAGTTAGGCAACACTTTCTCAAAATATCAACATCACTTATACAGTAATTCATGAGTTCCTGTCATAGGTTAAATATTTCATTTTGCTTTTGAGTGTACCATAGAAGGAAATCCTGTCTTCCAGACTCTGACATTTTGTCTGGGTCATACATAGCAACGTCGGGGTAAGGTCCCACATAATTTTGATTTTCACGCGTATTGAACTTGTGAGGAAAGTACCCTTTCATCAGTTCTTTAATGCCAAATGTCTTGGGCAATTTCGCGAGGGGCATTGGGAGAAAAGAAAGGGAATCAAGAAATCGAATTGAGGTATCCTTAACTTGGATAGAAATCAACTTCCCACCCCTTGAAACAACTTCCGGAATAACACCTTGACCGTGTAAGTACTGCATGATAAAATAACTATCATACCCCTGAAAATTATCAGCAATGCATGTTAAATTTTGGTTGTAAGGATACTCTTTAAATATGTAATTACAGAATTGATCACACGCATCGTCTCCGTAGAAATTTTACATTGACTAGAATCATTATCTTCGGTTATACAATTTAAGCAGCTTTTTTAAAGCACGCATAAATTTGGATTGTGAACCGCCGTTTC